CGCTCCAACGCCAAGCATACGAGAGCCAACTTGAATTGTGTCCAAAGGGTGTTATCCAGAATTGTGTCCGGTAGTTGTTCCCTCTCCTCTTCAGATACCGGTATGGTACTGGCCGGTAACTCATACGAGAGCCAACTTGAATCCATCATGTCCGGCACGTCAGAGGGTTTCTCAAGAAGCCTACATATGACGCCATGTGAATCGGGCTCTTGAATGGTGGGAGGGACCTCTTCAATGATGACAGTGGCCTCTTGATCGGTGGGAGGGGACTCTCGAGGAATGATAGGGGGGGCCTCTTCAACGATAGGAGTGGACTCTTGAGGGATGACAGGCGAGTCGGGCTTCTTCTTGCGGTGTCTTCGCACTATTGGGGTGTACGGAGACTTAATAGCACGTGCACGCTGTCTGATGCGTGAACTCCGTCGTGCAAGCATAACCCGACGTAAAGCATCCACTCTATCGGGCCGCTAAATAATTAAATAAAAAAATCAGTAAATAAACAGACATGATATTTAAACAGTGAAAACAAAGACAAATGTTTCAAACTTGCATTGTATTCACCCAAGTCATTATTCTATCATAGTTCACAAAATGCATCAGATAACAAAGAAAAATATGTTTCAAACTAATACCCTGAAGTTAGTATTTGTCTTTGTTTTGTCTATTGGTTGAAGTAATGCAATCCATTCAAGTTTCAATTTGCAGAAGAAGAAATAGTTTACTTTCGCAACACGAAACTTAAAATCGCAACGCGAAACCAAAATCGCAACGCGAAATGAAAATCGCAACGACAGAATCGCAATGCGAAATGAAAATCGCAACGAAAGAATCGCAACGCGAAATGAAAATCGCAATGCGATTTTGGTTTCGCGTTGCGATCTTATCGTTGCGATTTTGGTTTCGCGTTGCGATTCTGTCGTTGCGATTTTCATTTCGCGTTGCGATTTTGGTTTCGCGTTGCGATTTTAAGTTTCGTGTTGCGAAAGTAAACTATTTCTTCTTCTGCAAATTGAAACTTGAATGGATTGCATTACTTCAACCAAAAGACAAAACAAAGACAAATACTATTTCACAGTGTTAAAGAATACACAGTTTAGCAGAATTGGCAGCAACCGAACAAATTTACTTTCAAAAAGACAAAACAAAGACAAATACTATTTCACAGTGTTAAAGAATACACAGTTTAGCAGAATTGGCAGCAACCGAACAAATTTACTTTCCAAAAGACAAAACAAAGACAAATACTATTTCACAGTGTTAAAGAATACACAGTTTAGCAGAATTGGCAGCAACCGAACAAATTTACTTTCAACCAAAAGACAAAACAAAGACAAATACTATTTCACAGTGTTAAAGAATACACAGTTTAGCAGAATTGGCAGCAACCGAACAAATTTACTTTCAACCAAAAGACAAAACAAAGACAAATACTATTTCACAGTGTTAAAGAATACACAGTTTAGCAGAATTGGCAGCAACCGAACAAATTTACTTTCAACCAAAAGACAAAACAAAGACAAATACTATTTCACAGTGTTAAAGAATACACAGTTTAGCAGAATTGGCAGCAACCGAACAAATTTACTTTCAACCAAAGACAAAACAAAGACAAATACTATTTCACAGTGTTAAAGAATACACAGTTTAGCAGAATTGGCAGCAACCGAACAAATTTACTTTCAACCAAAAGACAAAACAAAGACAAATACTATTCACAGTGTTAAAGAATACACAGTTTAGCAGAATTGGGCAGCAACCGAATAAATTTACTAAGCATCTAAGTGAAATGACTAATCTAAGTGAAATTACGAGTAAATTTATCATTAAGTTAAATATGGAAAATCTTAAACTTACCTCGTTGCGTAGAGTATGAACCTCATTCTGCAACGATACTATCATCTCACGTAGAGCGGCAACCTCACCACGTAAAGTTGACACCTCCACACGCCATGCACCATCGTTATCGCGTAGAGTACCGATCTCCTCACGCAAGGCATTGACCTCATCACGTAACTCCCTTGACTCATCCCGTGGAGGTAGAGGTGGAGAACAGGGAGATAGGAGTCGTGGCATCTTTGCCGGTCGCCTATCATGAGGTGATGGTGGAGAAGAGGCTCGATGATGTGACGGGATAGGTGATGGCTCTCGTTCTAGAGGTGTATAGTCGGGTCGATCGGGTTGATGGCTCTAGGTGAGGTGATGGCTCTCGAATTGGAGGAAGTGGATGCTGCTCATCATCCGTGCCATCAAAAAAACTCTGACTAGCTTGCCACCAATCAGTGGCAAGCTCTTCCTCCGGGTGTCAGTCTTTGTAATGGAATGTTGGCCTCCTAAAATATAAAAACTCAAACAAAGTTAAACGTCTACTATTAATAACTTGTTTATATATTATATGAAAGTATTTGTGTTAACTTACATTATTTATTGTCGCATATGGTATTAAGTCTTCCCAATCCAACAGAGTTTTCCTCTTCCAGGAAATAGCCCTGGGAATATCATTTGACGTTTTTATTGCATATGTACGCATGCTGGGGAAAGCCTCGAATATCCAAATCTACAAACAATATAATAACAAAATTAGTAATTGTTAAATAATTAATTATAATTTTAGAAACATTATATAGAAATTCTTACCTTAAAGGCCCAAACAAAGCCTGACAAGTGTATTTGGACCCATCGCCCCGCAAACTTTTGCGGTCATCAAAGGCAGACGACAACTTAGTCCAGGTAGCTTTCCATATATACGAACCCCACGGAAACAGATTCCATGCATTCAGGTCCTCTACCAATATTATTAGCTCCCGATGAATAGGTTGTCTGGCCTCTCTGCCTAAAAAGCCGGCATACACAAGTAGTAGAAGGCATACTCGGACAACATCGACGTCATCCATCCGAGTGAAACCAGCTTTCTTATTAAACAATTTCTTCAGGTCGTCGACATGTAGGTTCGGCTTCTCCATTGACTCATCCGGAAAAACCCGGGATAACCATGATGGGCGGGCGATATGACGAGTGTACCGGCCTACATCATCGTGTCCGAATCGTAGACCAGTGATTAAGCAGAACTCTTTCCGCCCAAAACAAGTATACGCTGGTGAAAAATGAAACCATATCTCTTCCTCACCACGTTGTATACTGTCGGGTAGATTTGATGTCATGGTCTGAAGCCATAAATGGGTCAAATTAGCATCTCCACCCGGATGCTGTACTCTCAGCCATGGCCCGAAGCAGGTTTCCTCAAACAATTGTCTTTGAGCAGGTGAAAGCTTCGAAGCAATTGTAGTGGCCAGGCTGACTTTATTTCTCAAGGTCAATTGAGCCGAAAAAAATTTCTACAAAAACAATAAACATACCAAGTTAGATATACCAAAAACTACACTGTGAAGATATACCAAAAACAATAAACATAAAAAGTAGTAGTTTATTCTTGAAACTAAAATTTGCAACACTGTTTTGTCTTTTGGTTGAAATGAAAATCGCAACGAGAGAATCGCAACGCGAAATGACAATCGCAACGAGATAATCGCAACGCGAAATGAAAATCGCAACGAGAGAATCGCAACGCGAAATGAAAATCGCAATGCGATTTTGGTTTCGCGTTGCGATTCTCTCGTTGCGATTTTCATTTCGCGTTGCGATTCTCTCGTTGCGATTTTCATTTCTCTCGTTGCGACAGTCATTCTCTCGTTGCGATTTTCATTTATCTCGTTGCGACTCTTCTGCAAATTGAAACTTGAATGGATTGCATTACTTCAACCAAAAGACAGAACAAAGACAAAGACAAATACTAACTTGAAAATCGCAACGAGAGAATAGCAACGCGAAATGAAAATCGCAACGACAGAATCGTAACGCGAAATGAAATCTAAGTGAAATGGTTAATCTATTATTGAAATGACCAGTAAACTTATCATCAGTTTCAATATGAAAAACCTACAATAATGCAAACATTTCAAAATAAAAATAATTAAAAAAACTAACCCTCGGAGGTTGATTTTCCATTTCTGAATATTGTGAGGGATTTCTGACCGTGAATGGTTGTGAGGGATTTCGCCGGAGATGGGGACGGAAATCTTCGGAGATGGGGACGGATTTCTTCGCCGTAGAGAGTGAGAGATGGAGATGGGACTGAGTTGTGATTTTAGGTTTTAGGTTATGAGTTGCGATTACGGGATTTTGTCTTAATATTCGTTTTTGTAATTTGAAAATAAAATACGCGTAGCGATTATAATGGCGCTTTAAATATCGCGTTGCGATTTACGGATACGCGTTGCGATTTTATGTATTATCGTTGCGATTTACGGATACGCGTTGCGATATACGGATACACGTTGCGATTTACGGATACGCGTTGCGATTTATGTGTTCGCGTTGCGATTTTCATATTCGCGTTGCGATTTTGGAAAATCGCAATGCGAATTTGTACTATCGCATTGCGATTTTCAAGAATCGCGTTGCGATTTTGGAAACTGATTTGCGATTCTGGGGATCGCGTTGCGATTTTTATTTCGCGTTACGATTTTGTTGGTCATTTTGGCAAATCCAAAAAAAGTTGGTTAAAATCGTATATTATAAGGCATTTTTGGTCACTGAGGCGATTTTCTCTTAAAAGAGTTGAGAAAAGATGTGCATTCTTCGATTTATTGGAAGAAAAAGCAACCGCAGGGTGGCCCTGATTACAGTCGCTGGTGTTTGCCTGGTGGTGAGCCTGATACGTGAAACAAGAAATTCAAGCCTCGGAGATCAATGGCACATGGGAGGTTGTTCTTTTATCCAACATAATTCCCATTTGCAGCAAATGGGTTCATAGAGTCAATATCACTCGGATGGCTTGGTTGAAGGATATATTAATAGCCGGGTTGGGTGTTGAATATGAAGAAATGCTTAATGGTTTGCTATAGTCAAGCGCCTTTGCAAATTGCAGGTAATCCGACATTCCATGAAAAAAATAGAACACATTAAAATTGATTGTCACTTGATCGAAGAGAATATTTGAAGGAAATCGTCTGGATTCAACATGTTTTGACAAGAGGAGCTGGCAGATTTGTAATCCAAGTTGGGAGTGAGTGACATCTATCACCCTTCAACTTGAGAACTTGAGAGGGAGTGTTATCGGTGGTTCATTTGTAGAGATTGGTTAGGTAGCTATGACACATAAATCAAGTGTAAAGCAAGCACAATTACCAAAGCAAGTTCGGCATTGCTCATTTCCTTTTAACAGGCGCAGGATGGTTAATTTAATTATGTACATAGATATGGCATTTGACACTCAGAATCCAAGATATCGGGAGTTGGTGATCCCGATGATAATGAGTAACTCTTGCAGTCTTTATCAGATTCTACATCATCTCCATACCATAGTGCAAGTTGTTGGTATTCCTTTTTCCTTGCTGACCTCATTCTTGACGAAATAGCATCACGAATCTTTTTCTGGGAGAGAGAGGAAACGGTCAAATGAGTCTCACGAGAGAGTAAAAGAGAGAAACAAGGGGGAGGGACCGTAGCTACAAAGAAAGGCAAAAGGAATGTCAAAGCACCTGGTAAGGCTTGTGTTTACCATCCTTCCGGCGATGAAAATGTAGTCCAGCTCCATTCACCATGATGCAACTTTCATCAACCGGTGTGTCGCCTAACGCTTGAACAGTTCCAGTTTGCTTTCTACAGGCAGTAGTAGTCCTTGTGACACCTGCTGTATCCATGGTCCAGTTATTCGATTGTCCTGCAAAGCTCATTCACCAAGTTAAGACATGCGGCTTGCCAGATACAAACAAGTCAGCAAACTCATATATAAAATGAGAAAAACTAACACAATAAATGAACATAAATGAAAACATATTTTTTTCCTAACAATTTTAAGATTATATTTTATTTAATTGTTTTGAGCTTTTTTTTATTTGTATTTAAAATTAATTGAATTTTAAAATATTTACGAGTACCAAATTAAAATTTATTAGGCTAAACATAAATGAAGCCCATATACAAACAAGTCAGCAAACTCATATACAAAATGAGAAAAATACAAGAACGGGGAGAGTGGGCGAGGGATGAGAGATGTTTCCGGCAAGATAATGAGACCAACACACAGCAATTAAGAAAATAACTGAAGTGGAGTTCAGATAATCATGAGATTCCTCAAACTTTGACTTCTACTTTGCACCTTCATTTCTAAGTTTGTTTGTGTTATTAAATATCAGGAAGAAAAGAAAATCCTTTCTCAGGATTAAGGTAAACAAACAAAAAAACTAAATCATGGTCGTGCAACAGCCGTCTGCTATTCATAGTTGGTGAGACTTAAAGATCGTACATTAACCTCACTCAATAACAGTCTTAACCAACACCACCTCTTCCCCAACCCTTTTTTCCTAACAAAATCCCAGAAGAAAGAATCCGTGGATATCATAGATTCTTCGATTGGTAAAGTAAAATCCCTGAAAAATCAAAATATTAACAATACATTGCTTACAAAATCAGTGTTAGAGCTCGGGCTAGAAAGGAATAAGATCTCTCTCTTATGGAGAAACAAGGGTTCTATTGAAGTAAAACATACAGGTAATTGTTCTTGAATCTGTGTATAAACCAGAAACTGGGTTTTAGAAGATGAAAAACTTTTGTAAACAAACTGATAATTGTTCTACAGTCTTGGTGTATAACTCCAGTTTTGATTCTAAAGTTCCAAGCCAAGTGCTTTAACTTCTGGAGTAGACATCTAGATTTTCTGAAGCAGTGTAGACATGATAGGCTATTTCTTTCAAAAGGCAAACAATGCATCCAAACTTTAAAAGGCACAGGCAGATTGTGAACGTCTCAATAAAGCTCAATTAAATAAATTATCTAGAAAGGAGGAGGAAATTCGTCAAAACTTAATTCTTTCCCCAAAAGAACTGATCTGGAAACGGAAATCCACACAGCATCAGATCAAACAAAGATGGCTTTTCAATTATTCACAGATCAAAACCATATTTCAGAACTTAACTAAATCCTAATTACCAATGCCAATAAAAAGACTTTCCCAATTTTATTCAAAAGAAAGTTTGAAAATTTAATGATATATAGATACCATGAGGACAGGATGCAAAAGCAATTTTATCAGAAATTCACTATGTTGAACGTCATCATTCATGGATCTTCTAATTAAAGAAATCATTCCATCATTTGAACAACTGTCTGCAGCAACTAAATCAAAATAAACAATTAGCAACTTTAAAACAAGGAAAACTTAAGATAACATAGTTTAGGAATTCTCACCATTTGATTCTGCTGATCCAGTAACATAGGATGACAATCTTATCTCCATTTCTTTATCCGCAACGGACTCACCCAACTGTAAATCATCATTTAGAATTTCAGGTGCAGATTCACTTGCACTTCTAATTTCATTGCAACCTTCTTCTACAGAATCACAACCATATTCTTTAACCAAAATCCGGGAAAATGTTGTGGGTGACTGATGACTTAAAACTTCATGATTTGCATTAGCATTTCCAGAAAATGATGGCATTATGCTGAACTCATTCTCCACAGAAGTTAATTCGGAGGTCCTAGCTAGAGGTAAATTCTCAATATTTGGCTTATCATGTGCATTGTTGCTATTCTCCCCAGAAAGCACATCAGAGGATGCTCTTTCCACAAATCTTCCATGGCATGATTCAAATATGTTATCATCCATGTGAAGCCGGCTGAAGGAAGGTACATTGGCAACATTTACATTAACATCAGCAATTACTTCTGGATTTTCAGTTACCCGCTCACCTTTACTCATTATAGCAGCCTCCTTTAAACCTACATTAGGCTTTTTTAATGTCACAGAATTTTTCTCAACTGGCGTATTAGATGCCGCAACTGCTTCCTTAGGCTCCAATGAAGATGGAAGAAGCAAATCCTGCACCATGTCTTGCATCACATCAGCGTAGAACTTTTTAACACTAGCACCGACAGTCTGCACCTGATCCTCCACATATTTAACTGTGTCCTGTTCCCAAAGATAATGAATTACTGGAATTTTAGTATCAATTTACGTGAGCGTACACTGGACTGAAAAAATACGAAAGGTGACAAGTGAATAGAAACACATCCACATGGCACAACAATGATGCCTCTAATAATATCCATACAAGTCACCTCAAACACAAAGCCCAAAACATAGAAATACATACTTCGGAACAAACTTCAGTGCATATTGTTATTGGTATGAAACACAGGAAAAACAAGGAGCAGAAGTTGAGAAAGCGTATCTACCTTTTAACACCAGGGTTCTCATGGATTTAGTCCACAAAACCTAGTATATAACTCAAAATCGTTGGTGAAGTTTCAAGAAAAGACTATCAAAGGGGGCGTACCTTGTACATAACTTCTTCCGCCTCAAGGCACATGGATTCAAATTCCTGATATACATGCCCCACCCAGGTTATACCTTCTAAATCCATAGTGATCATCAATCAACCTAGCTAGAATAACAGAAGGAATTTTTCCACTATATCACGTTAGCAATTATCTTTAAATTTAAAGCATTTGTCTGCAACAAAGTAAATTTAAAATCAGTATACTCTTCAAAGAACAGTGTTAGGAAGTTCAGTTGAGATACATATATCGTAACCTGAGAGGATATGCCGAATAACTTAAACAAGTATTGTTCAATGTAAAAATCACAGATTCATATTCATGCAGTGCCAAGCCTAACCAGAAGAAGATTAAAAAAATAGTTACTTGGAAAGGGACCCTTGATCTAGGGAAAAAAATGAATAAGACCTTGAACTACTTCCTAGTCAAAATTCATAAATCGTGAAAAACCAAGACATACTAATAGTCCCCATCCAAAAGTTTTATATTGTTCTCACATGATGACATTGATCCCTCTAGAGGCTACTATGTAAAAGCCAAAAGTCTATCGAACCGGACCAAATCACTTAAAAAGCACATGAAGGGGCAAAAATCATGGATTCTTCATCAATATTATATTTGTTCTTAATATCCAATCTTCATCCTACCAAGCTTCAGTTTTATGTACAAACTTCTAACCCGAGTATGACACAACAAAAGAGCAAGGAAATGGTACAAGAAAACTGAGGAACACAGGATTGCAGTATATCGGCATGCATTCTACAGATGCAATCAATGGTACCCCATGCAATAAAAGAACGATTATCACAAACTAGAAGGTAATACCATAATTCTAAATCTTAAAAATTACAAATGAGCTGTACGGATGGATCATAACATAATTCTCTTACGACAACTTTCCCGAAGACCTAGCTTCCAATAGATACTCTTTAAAAACAATAATTAAAAACAACATTTATAATCAATTACTTCGAACAAATTAACTTTATGAGCGTACGCATCAACAGCTTCGACTAATAAATGTCACATAATTTTCAACTTTATAGAGAAAACAAAAGAAAAAAAAGGTTAATCCAGAACGATCAATAGCTAAATTTACAAATGCGAATTCCCAAGCTAAAAGAACAATTCAAACCGCATCAAAATTTCATATATTACCCAGAAAAAAGGGAAAAGTCTAGAAATTATCTATTTTGACAATAAAGAGAGAATCATATCATGATGTAAAAACAGCAGAGAGTTTTATCTGAAGGAAAGTTGAAAAGAAGAAGAAGAAGGAATTACCCTTTCCTTTTCCCCCTTTAAAAACTGAATAACCCGCCTGCTATGAAAGATGAAGGAAAACCAGAAGCTAAAACGTTGACGGGAAACTTCTGGGATTACGAATTTATGTTGTGTGTTCACAGATTATAATGCCTCAAACTTTATTTTTAACTTTTGTAATCGAAGTTAAGAAATGATTTATTGATAAGGTTTAGGGTTGAGGAAAATTCTTTCTTGTTAGAGAGTTAGGCCTGTAAATGAACTGAACGTTCAACGAACCGTTCATGAACCGTGCGGCGGGAAGTTCGTTTATGTGCGTTTATTTATTAAATGAACGAACATGAACAAGATTTTTTGTTCGTTTAATTAAATGAACAAACATGAACATAGGTTTCGTTCGTTCATTTACGTTCGTGAACGTTCGGTTATGTTCGTTTGGTTATGTTCGTTTATGTTCGTTCGATTATGTTCGTTTATGTTCATTCATTTATGTTTAACCCAATCTTCTTAAATCAATTTTGGTGACCAATTTGTAAGTATCTTAAAAATATTAATCTGATATTCTGATGACCAACTCCATAATTAACCCAATTTTATTTGGAGATTAAATCCAATATGTTAACCTGTGAGACACCTCGCTCTTATATTCATTTTTCCCCTTTTTTCCCAAATCTTATTGTTCACTGGAGAGTGGAGACGATATCTGAAAGATTTAAAACAAGTTATATTATAGTGCAATATGAAGTTTTACAGGTCTGTTTTCATCTTTCTCTGTTTTATTTGACTTAATAGTTGATATGTAAAGTTATTGTGGGTATCTTCACATCTAAAACTCAAGAAAACATAATACTTCTTTCTAGAAATAGATGAGAAGATAAAGGTAAAAATCGGAAGTATATGAGCATCAGTAAAAAGAAAAATATATAGAATTTGCCAGAAAACAAAACAAAGGTTTCTATGCAATTTCTGAAAAATAGTGTAATAGCGGAAAATGATTGTTCATATGTAATCATGGAACACTAAGATAAATGTTATAGCGTTAAATTAAAGTCGTGCGGATCATTTAATATCTTTAAAAGATCGATCAAAATATTTGATATCTTCAAACATTTTATCACTGCTAATAAGCTCTTACGCTATTTATCACTGTAGATTTGGTTGATTTGCATTGTCGACTATTTTTCATGAAAGAACAAGGGTCTCCAACGTTTATGTTCGTGTTCATTTATGTTCGTGTTCGTTTATGTTCGTGTTCGTTTATGTTCGTTTATTTATTAAATGAACGAACATGAACAAGTTATATTCCTTAATAAACGAACATGAACAAAAAAAATTTTGTTCGTTTATGTTCGTGTTCGTTTATGTTCGTTTATTTATTAAATGAACGAACATGAACATACATTCGTTCGTGTGCGTTCGATTCGTTTACAGGCCTATAGAGAGTAGTTGATTAAATTTCAAATAGGTTTACTTTTTTTCATTGAGGTGTTGAGTTTTTTTTAATGAAAATTATGGCGAATTTCCTCAAAAATCACTCTTGATTTTTTTATTTTCCTCTCAGACATCTTTTCAGGTATATTTTCTTATCTAACACCTTTTGCAGGAAGACGTAACTCATGCATCGCGCCTTATGTTGATGTGGCGTCACGTAGTGTAAGGCGCGACCCATGCACACCGCCTTACGCTGACGTGGTACCACGCTGGGTAAGGTGGTGCATGGGTCGCACCTTACCGTCGTGTGAGACATGCACCAAATAGGCGCGGTGCATAGGTCACTCCTTACCGTCAATAGGCACAGTGCATGAGTCGCGCCTTGCATAATTGTATTCGCAATTCTCGGCTTTAAAGCGTTTCCCCTCGGCTATAAATAAAATGCTCTCATCCCGTAAAATTCACACAACAATCATCTCAATCGAAAACATCAAATAACAATCCTCTCAACCCGTAAATATCACCTGACAATCCTCTTATCTTTGATTCAGAAGTTCGTTCGATCTTTCATTGTAATGTAATTTTTTATAATATTTTTTATAATTATATATGATTATTTTAATAAAATATTGTACTAATTGTTTTCAATTAATTTTTATGGTTGTAAAATTGGAAAGCGGGAGCATATGTCGAAATATTTTTGTTTATACAGTAATAATATAAAATTATATTATTTAAATTATTTACATTTATGTGTAAAATTTTTATTGCGTTATATTTTAATTCATATATTATTTATTTAATTAGGCTTGTTTCAGGGTTTTTTTTTGCAGATATAAGATTGTCTCACTTTCAAACTCTAAAATTGACGTGAATTTCAGCTATTGTTTATTATGATGGAAAAATTCGGGAAAATGAAACCGGCGTTGTTTTCATATCAAATCATTATGTTAAAATATCTTTCAAGAGAAACATAACTCTTGAGGAGTTGATAATGAATATTTCAAGGAAGGTTCATGTTGGAAGTACTAGAAGAATGTCATCGTTTCATTACAGATTTTCAACATCATTGTTTCCGTTAACTTATACAGCGTTCAAACTATCGAACAATGATGATGTTGAAATGATGGTTGATTCTCAAAATCATTATTCAGACGTCGATACGGAGATGTATATAAAGTTTGTTGAAGTGCGTGATGTTCAGGGTCTGTCATTAAGCTCCCACTATGGGCTGGCTGAGTTAGATGATCAAGTTGACACTCCAACTACAGTAATATGTAATGATTTTAATGTCATAATGAGAAATCCTCATCATGGAGTCATTCCATCAACTTCAATGGGGAGACATTCATCAGCAACTCCTTACTATCAATACCGATGTGGGTTCACGAACAATCCCTATAGCAACATCGCGTCTAATTCAAGGGGAATGCATTCATCTGCCAATTTCTTTGACCTAAATATGGAGATGCCCTCGACGCAACAATCTGTGCAGTTTCTATTTGACATGATGACTTTAAGCTCCAGAGGGAGGCATTCTACTACGAGCTTTTTCGATCTCAATGTCGATATGCCTTCTAGTTCAAGTGGAAGGCATGCAAGTAGTAGGTTCTTCGACCTAAATGTGGAGAGCATGGAGGAACCATCTTCTCCACCAGAAGAACTGCTTCGTGAGCCAGGTGCGGATGGTGCTAAGACTAGAATATTCATTCACCTAGAATCACCGTAGTTCAACTCCGATGATGATGATGATGTAGATGAAGTTCCCACAAATGTGGCACAAACTGAACCTCCAACACACATGTATGAAGCTGATTATGGTGCAATGTACGGACCATAATTTTCGGATATGTCTAATCTCGGTGACTATAGATTTGACTCATCAATAAATAATGATGAGTTATATTTAGGATTGGAGTTTTCAAGCAAAGAAGAAACGATGATGACTATAAAAAATTACAATATTCGTAATTATGTTCAGTCCAGAGTCGACCGCTTTATGACAGAAAAGTATGTATGCCACTATGTCTGACGTGAAAACGGATATAATTGGATGGTTCGCGTATTGAAGAGGAAGAGGAAAAATAATAGATGGGAACTAACAGTATACAACGGTCCTCACACATGTTGTGCTGGAAGGATCAACCAAGATTATCCCAACTTGGACCCTGAAGTGATTTGCCAAGCCATCATGCCCTTGGTAAAATCAAGGTCCTATATAGTTATTGTTGTGTTGATTTCAACTATACAATCGCAGTATGGGTATTCCGTCTCATACAAAAAAGCATGGAAGGAAAAGCAGAATGCCATTAAAAAACTTCACGGCGATTGGGATGCATCTTACAACGAACTTCCAAGTCGGTTTAGGGTGGTGCGGAGGTTGAATCCTAGGACAATTGTGGAGTTCAAAACTTGCTATACATACCATAATGATCGAGTTCTTCACGATCGATGCCAATTCTATCGGGTTTTTTGGACTTTATAACCCCCTCAGACCGATGCAGATAACCCGATCCGATCTGGGTTGTCATATTAGGGCCACTAGAACGACCCACTTTAAAATTACAGAAAATTTAAAACTTTTTATCATAACATGTAAACTCATAAAATCATTTATCAGTATTCAGAAATAAAATAGATTTTCAGACTCGTATATATAAAACAAAATACAATTACATGCCCCCTAATCACATGTAACATACTCTACGAACAACGCCGGAAAAACTCTCTTAATAAAGTCGATAATTGCACTATTACAATTCTTTTAACCTACAATGGTGAGTAATAGAGTGAGCTTTGGAAAGCTCAGTAATACAAAACTACCAGATGATGCTGAAGAACTTGCAGGTACAAATAAACATATATTTCCTTATCGGTTCACATATCTACAGATATTTATGTTGAGCGAAAATCCTACTGATATTTAAGGTAGTAACAGACAATGAGCTTTCAGTTCAGAGAAATATTTTAGATGACTGAGTTCAGGAGATCATAATAGGTTATCTAGTGTGTTCCCGCAAAAACTAGTGAAAAGATACATATCTTTTCTTTTAAAACATTGGCAGTTTAAAACATATTTTTATTCAAAAACCATATTAATCCCTCTAACCATACACACCATAATGTGTAGGTTCCCTAGAACCATACACCACCAACACACCAAGTAAGGCCCTGAGCACAAAACAGAGGAGTCTGCAGTAACGGTAACTTCATCCAACAACACCCTCCCATAAAACATTTATAAAAAGCCATAGTAATCCCTCCAACCGATCACACCATAATGTGTAGGTTCCCCAGAACCATACACTCACCAACACACCAAGTAAGGCCCTGAGCACAAAGCAGAGGAGCCTGCAGTAACGATAACTTCCTCCAACAACACCCTCCCATAAAACATTTATAAAAAACCATAGTAATCCCTCCAACCGAACACACCATAATGTGTAGGTTCCCCAGAACCATACACTCACCAACACACCAAGTAAGGCCCTGAGCATAAAGCCGAGGAACCTGCATATATACTTTCTCCAAAAATAGCCCCAAATAAAACAATTACCGTCAATAAACGGAGATATCAGAAAACAAAACATAATTCAGATCATATATCAGAACATAATCCAGGTCAGGAAATAGAACAAATTTCAGATCATATGTCAGAACATAATTCAAATCGGAAATCAGATAAAATATTCATGTGAATAGGGAACACACCAGAGTTTACAAATATTATTCAGAAGTACATAATAATCTTATCAGGCAGAG